ACATTGTTTGTAGGTCCGGTGGTAGCCGTGTGCGGCCAAGAGCTGAGCGACCTCCTGAAAAACTTTTTCATTCCGCATCGCCCCATCAAGCTCTTGCTGGATCCGCTCCTCAGCTATCAGCGAGAGGAACGTCTGTTCTTCCTCAACAGACCACAAAAAAAGCAATTTTTTGGATGTTACAGTAAAGAGCGTTTGTTCAAACAAAAGTTGTGTTCGATCCTTCGCTGGCTGTGCTGATTTAAATCTAGCGGTTCTGTTGTGTCTCATGTCGCAAGTTCAGTGACGCAGGTAGTGACGATTCTCTCCGGCCAATCAGTGATCAGCAGAGTTTACACGTCACGTTTTGGTAACGGTACGGTTCGCTTAGAACCCCAACCGAAGTGGTACTAAAAAAAGTACCAGGTACCAGGTACTGTACCCAGTGGAAAACCCCCCAAAAGTGAACCATACCGAGCCATACCGTGCAGTGGAATAGCACCATAATACATTAGAAGCTGTTGCCCCCATCAAAATGAAAAAGGTTCGAGAAAAACTTACTGCGCCATGGTACAACAGTAATACCCATTCTCTCAAGAAAAAACATCTTTTACTGCAGTTATATCTGATCAAATGCACATTATTATTCTTTAGTTTGGGTTAAACAAATCAATTTTGCTTGGTTGGAACAGCAGCTACGCTAATTATGTCTCTATTTGTTTCTCTGTTTTTTGCCACGGGATGTAACTAGGATACACAAGCTTCAGTCTGGATCCAGAACACCCGAGAAGAGATGATGCCAACCCCTCAGAGGACCTCAGATGATGCCAACCCTAAAACAACATACAGAACTACCACATTTTGCTATAAGTTTGATTTCATCATAAAATAATTGCTGTTAATAGTGTTCATCGTCTGTTTTATTACGTCTTAAATTGATTTTTCCATACATTTCTGCCATATGTACATTAACTGCCAGTCACCACTGATAAGCTACCACTAAATATTGTAGAAACTTAATTGGCTGTAAAGTTGCTTTGCAATGATTTGTATGGTGAAAAGCGCTGTACAAATAAACTTGATTTGACCATTTAGCGCCAAAACTCTGGAATAACCTACCTAACATTGTTCGGGAGGCAGACACACTCTTGCAGTTTAAATCTAGATTAAAGACCCATCTCTTTAACCTGGCTTACACATAACACACTTGTGACGAGGGGGGCGGGGCAGAGAGCTGTGGGAACGGAGCAAGGCCGGTGGAGTAATTGATAATGAGCGACACCTGCACCACTCACCAGTCTCGAGTCTCACAGAGGAGCTCCGGAAAGATATAAAGGAGGAGTGACGACAGGGAAAGACGAGAGAGGACCAGGCCTGGACTTTATTTTGTGTTTTGGTTTTGTTTGTGTGCGACAGTCGTCTGCGAGGGGCTGGCGCACTGTTTTGTGTTTGTTTATTTTTATTAAAGTTTTATTTGAATGTTCGCCGGTTCCTGCCTCCTTCTTCCCAACCTACGAACATTGTTACAATTAGTGTTTACTATTGTCATTTTGCATTATTGACACTATTAAATAATGCTGTTCAGTTGCTTTGACGCAATCTGTATTGTTAAAAGCGCTATATAAATAAAGGTGACTTGACTTGACTTGTCATCTAAACAAGCTAGCAGAGAAGACACTGAATCAGTACCTGAGTTTAAAGGAAAATAGAGCTGAGTATCATTGGCATAAATATGATATGAAACTTTATGGGACTCAAAAATTAAGTGGAGAGGGAGTAAATATAAAGAAAATAAGATTGGACCCAGAATTGAGCTTGATGAAAATTCTCCAATTTCCACGGAAAAACTCCTATTTGTGAAATATGATGCAAACCAATCTAATGCAACATCACGAATACCAACTTCAAGGTCTAATCTCTTTAACAGGATACGATGATCCACTGTATCAAAA